GGCGGGGGACCCGGCTGGTCATTGGCCTCTCGGATGGGATTTGTACCGAGACGGGGAAGCGGAGCCCGGGGCGGTTTGGGGTCCCGGGAGCCTAGAGGCGGGGGAAGGGGGGGCATTAAACTTGGCTGGGGGGTCCCCTTCGGAATTGGGCCTCCGGGAGGGGGCTCCCCTGGCCCCCCCATTGTCGGTTTTCTTCTGACACTTGTTAAAAATTCGTAAGACATCCTCACTTGCGTGCATTCTAGTTCGTGGAGTGACTGGGCCCAACAGGCGCTCAGTGCAGGGGGGCTGCGGCCCCCGCCTCGCGGGCACCCGCACCTCTCTGCTGCTTCTCTGCCCTCGCCGGGACCCCTGCCCCACACGCCCCCTCCCCGCTCGGGCCTGCAGAGAGCCGGTGTAGCGTGGTGGAGGGGAAAAGCCCCGAGCAGGGATACTGGGAGCCTCGTAAGGATTCTGCCCAGCTGTGTAACCCAAGTCGTGCAGAAGTTCCCATCCGCTCTCAAGTTCTGAGATTGATGTGCCGCAGCCCTTTCTGCGAGTGATGCACGTTCAAAATGAATCAGCACCCGAGGAAGATGAGGGAGGAGGTGGTGCTGTGTCATTTGTTTTGAGTGCTTTCTGGTTGTGAGTGCTACATGCCAGGACCACAGGAGTTTGGATCTCTGAGGATTAACAGAAACACGTTTTTAAATCTGAATAAGTGTGTCAAAATCATTCTGTACTTTTCTCTGGGTGAGGTGATTCGTTTGGGACTTTTGGGAGCAAACTCTGAGCGATCCAAATAGTTTAAAATAAATAAAAAAATTTAAAAAAGATAGAAAACTTGCCTGTATCTGATCTGAGAGACTTACTTAAACCTCTTCCAATGAAGTCACTTTGTAGTGTTCTTTTCCAAATTGAACCTCATAGTAAGAATCACCTGTGATATTTGTAAAAGTGCCGATTTCCTGGACCCCATTTCAGAAATCCTGTCTGGTGAGAGGGATCTGGGAATCTATATTTTTAACACAAAAATGCTATTTATCTCTTGTTACTGTGCCAGAATTCTAGATCGTGGTGATCATAATTTTTTGTTGTTATGCCAGATTTCTTGAGTTCCATTTAGATTCCATATATTCACTGTAATAAGACCTAATCCCGTTAAAGATTTTGACTCATTACTGTATGTAAAGTGTGTGGGTACAAACCGTACATACAGTAATAAATGAAGTCATTTGTAAAAGAATTGGTTGGGGTGACAGATCTATTTAAATATAAAACTAAATTAAAATCTGGGAATTGTGGAAATATAAAACTAAGAATTAAAATATGTGATTTATGGTTATAGTGTAAATGATATAAATCTTGACAATATAAAAATAATACATCTTATAGAAATCAGGGGATGTCAAGAAGTGTAAGAATGCAGTTTTCTCCTTTCATAATAGTAGGTCAATCCACATTATCTAAAATGGAATCATATAGTTGTGTGTGTGTGTGTTTTAAAGATTTTTATTGGGGAATTGGGGGATGGGAACAGACAAGTTGCTGTCGTTTTGTTCTTCAATCTAGTTGTGGAGGACGTTGCTTCACTGGCCCAAGTTGGCACCATCATTATGCTCTTCCCAGGCGAGGCAGATCAGTCGCCGGCTTCTGGACGGCCGCTCACTGCGGCTGCTGGCTGCTCACGCTGGCTGCTGGCTACATACGGTAGCCCATGGCAACCCACTGCCACAAGGGCTGCAGCCTACGCTGTCTCCAGTGGCTCATGGCAGCCCAGCTCCAGGTTGAGCTGTTGTTCAGCATCTTAGCTGTGGAGGGCAGTGTCACTGGCCCTCATATGTGGGATCTGAACCAGGGTCCTCTTGCATCCCAAGCCAGTTCTTAACCATCTCGCTACTCTGCCGGCCCTGGAATCATATAGTTTTTAAGAATCTCATGCTCTACCGACTGAGCTAGCCGGGCACCAGAATCATATAGTTTTTAAATGACTCTGATCTCTTAATATTTTTATGTGTTTTTCCTTAACTGAAGAGTACTCTTCAGAACTAAAATCGCTTTTTGTGAAGAAATTTTCTTCCTCAAAGATCAGCAGTTTCTTTAGTTCACTGTTTTCTTTTTCTTTTGTTGAATGCAGGAATAATTAAATGTTGTACTTTTTATTAAAAATAGCATGTCTAGTATGATCCCATTATAAATTATTTTTATAGTCTATTTATATTTGTTCATTAGATAGCTATATGGAATGATGTATACCTAATAATGAGAAGTATTTATGAGTGGTAGGATTTGGGTCTTCTTTTTTTTACTTTTTTTTCCCTCCATAATTATTATCTTTATTCTTAAATTAAGGGACTGGTCTTCAGGATGAACAAATTTCCTTACAATTTAAAAGACAGATAAAACAAGACAGCAGTCTAAAAATACATTTTGCTTCTGTTAGAGAACTAGTTTTTAAACCTAATCTATGGACCATGAAAAACTGGAAGGACAAAAGAAGTAGGCAAAAATCCAAAACATTTATCATTAAAAACTCATTCCAAATTGACAGGCTGGCCCTGCTGTCATGCTTCCCATTCTTACAAACCCACTAATCTGATCAAGAACTCAAATATTAAGAATAAAATCAAGTATTTTTAAAGCTGATGCAACAATATGCTGTAGCTCAACAGCTGATACTACAGATAGTAATCCAGAAGAAAAACTTTGCGTCTATCAACAAATTAGCAACCAGACACCTCTTAAAAAGAGAACTCAGGCTGTTCTCCATTAACTTCCATAAAGGGCGGCTTTCCTTTAAAATTCATGACTTCATTGCCTGGAATGTTTGTTTTGGTGTTATACTACTGTTTTATAAACATTGTCTCAGAGTAAAACTAATGACTTTACCCACTCCTGAAACAGTGTGGAGGAAGGCACCATATACTGTGGTGAAAATGAATCTCAGTTACCTAACAATTCATTATAAGGACATTATAATTAATCACAATTATATTCTGTGCATCACAAAACTAAAACTTGAGTTTTAAAACTCAACCAAAGCCCGATGATAATATATTACTTCACAGACAGTTTTTCCTTTGGGTTCTAAGAAAGACATGATTACTTTTAAAATACAGTTTGACGGTTAAAGTCTCTAGGTTTCCCCCATTGTTGAATTTTTTTAAAAACCTAGATAGGGCCTGTTTGCAGGCACTTGTGAAAACCTGCTGAATGAGAAGTTTGGGAGAACGACCAAATTAAAGTAACCGAGCAAAGAGAACTCGAGTTCTTTAACTCCTTCAGGTGAGGGGAGGGAACCTTACCTGCCAGCGGCTGTCGGTGAGGAGGACCACGGAAACGGGGATGGCGGTGCCGGACGTTCATGGGTAGCGAGCATGCTGTACTCGGAGGTGTAGAGGACCTCCACCTTGACCACCGGCGGCGAGGCGGGCCGCGGCCAGCGGATGATGTGCTTGGTGCACTGGCCCAGGTACACGACCGGTACCCAGATGACCACGAGCCTCCGGCCCACCAGGGCGTCCAGATTCCAGATCCAAAAGGCGAAGAGCAGGATGTAAAAGAAAAGAGTTCAGTGCCCGGCTCCATGCTGAAGGAGAACAGGTAGTGGAGCGGCCAGTTGCTCACGTGCTGCAGGGCGCCCACCGCGGCCAAGCCAGGTCCAGCGCAGTCGGCAGCGGTTCCGCACGCAGTTGGGGGCGCCGCCGCCCGGCTTGGCGGGACACTGATTGCGGTCGCTCCCGGGAGTCCGGGGCCTCCACACGCCTCTGGCTGCCACTCTGCACGCTGACAGAAGAGGGGTGCTTCCTCCTCCCTCAGGTCGGCGGCGGCCACCGGGGAGCGGCTCAGCCGCACTTCACCTTGCACATCCCCTGGCAGCAGGCCGCTTTCTACGGCTTCTGCAGACGGCCAGCCAACTGGGCCAGGGGCTGCCTCAACAGCTTAATAATGGTACCCGCGCGCCCCATGCACCCCGCGGACCGGAGGACGGGAGGATGGCAGCGGGAGTGCGGGAGGGCCCTGGACGCAGCCCCCACTGGTCCTGCGCGCCTGGATGGTGGTAGCAGCAACAACGCCTGTTTTTGTTTTTTTTACGTCTTTGTACCTTTCTATATTGATTGAAATTTTTTAAAACTGCAGGTATCATTTTTATAAAAACATTTAATAAAAAGAGTTTTGGTTATTACATTATAGGGAGAATTTTAGTAAGAAACCCAAAAGTTGGTGAGTAACCGTGACTACCATTAACTTGCAATGAAGAAATGAGTACTGCTCTGTTTGCCTTTGGGTTTGTTTTTTGTTGCTTGATACAGTGTCCTTGTAGAGACAAGTGCAGTGTGGCGTATCTATAGTAAATTTTCTTTGATATGAATTCTGGTTTTGTCACTTTAGTAACTGTGTGACCTCAAATTGTGTGAGTCCCTGTCCTCATCTTAAACTGGGCGTTGTATTTACTTCTGAAGGTTGTTGTAATGATTACTGTATGCATTTAAATAACTTAGCCCAGTACCTGGAACCCAAGTTCTGTTCAAAAAGAACAGCTATTACTACTATTTTAAAAGTGCATATTGTATTTGTATACATGCATGTGTTTCTTAAGTAATGTCCATTTTATAAAGTCAACAGTGTATTACACGTCTACTTAAGTGTTTCTAGAAAACTTAAAGTGTTCTACGATGGAATTTTCTCAGGTTTGAACTTCTTGCCCTGGAAGCTGTGCGTCACCATAATGAGGCTTGTAATTCTTGATAACTATGACTTGGCTAGTGAATGGGCAGCCAAATACATCTGTAATCGCATCATTCAGTTCAAACCGGGACAGGACAGATATTTTACACTGGGTTTACCAACAGGTAATTTTTTTTTTCCCATTTTAGATACTGAAGGTTGTGGGGTTGAAGAGTTTCCCTTAGTAAAATGTTTTCCATTTATTTCTTGCCATATTGCTGATTGAACATATTAGCATATAAAGCCAGAAATAAATAATATACATATGTATATTATTATATATGTACCATATATATATATATATATATATATATATATATACACCTATATACATATGGTACATATATATGTACATATATATGGTATCTACATTTTGTTACTATTTTCTTTGTTTAAATTCTAGCTCACCTGTCACTCAAATACAAAAGGAAATATCCTAACTTAAATGATGGTCATAGTATTTTTGGTACCTTTTTCTAGTAGTGGTTTATTTGTATTGGGGGATGTCACTTTCACTATTTATATAATTTCTTGGTAGACTAACCTTTTTATAATCATTAAGAGTTATCTAGAGTATGTGCTGCTGCCTCTTAATTTCACCTTAGCTGCCTCATATTCCCATATTAACCCTTTGCTATTTCTGTGTTTATTTTGTTTCTATTATTAGAAGTATTATAAGTGAAAAATTGCAGATTGTTGTGTCTTCATGGCAGAATAAACAAGCATCAATTACATATTTTATTGGATTGCTTCTCTGTTAAGGTTTTTTTTAAAAAATAGCCAAGTGGTGCAATTGATCTTATGGCATTTTATTTTATATCATGGACTTCCCCGGGAAAGTATTGGACCTGGAATTAGAGCTGCTACTTTCTTGGTTATTGTAAGGCATTTGTTCTACATCCCTAAGCCTTGGTTTCCTTATCTAAGCTATCAGGATAATAATACCTTATTATTATTACCTTACTTTCTGTTTTGAGGCTCAAATAAAAGTGTTTGTGCAAATCTCTTGTATACTGTAAGTATTATATACATTTAAAGTTCCTATAAGTGTGTTTTATTTAAACAGCATTTTCTCCTGCTCCTCTACTCATACATGCAAACTACATAAAAGGTACAATCATATTTTTCCACTTGCAGAAAGTCCACTCTTTAGCTCCCCAAATTGATTTTTTTTGTTTGCTGTTTTGCTTCTTATTTGTTTGGTCCAGTGTAGTAGGTCTTGATGAGAATGAAAAGAGGGATTTTTTACAAATTGTCCACACTAGTGCGGGGCCTTCTCAGTGACCACAGCTCTGATATGTGAGCCCCCATGGTTGAACGATGGCCTCGGTATTACGTTGCATACTGATAACCTGGCTATGTTCAGGCTAGCTGACATAATCACTCTCTCTTGATTATGATGTAGAAATAGTAATTTGAGTGTAGGGCAAAAGGGCTTCAGAGTCATAAATGCAAGCAGTGTTAAACGTGTTTTTGTGGATTTAGGTATGCAATCTTTTCTCGGTTCTGGATGGTATAACTGCCTAGTAATACACCTGCTAAGGTTGTATCTCTGGAAAACCTTTGTTGATGTTTTCCACTTTTCTCCTTCATTGACCATTAACAGTGTTAATCGTGCCCCACCCATCTATGCTTTTGAAATTTGAACATACATTTCTGTATCTGCAAGTAATATGCTTTGTTGTAATTATCCCCCCACCAAGCACAGTTTCTGAGGAATATCTGCTTGGTAAATATTGAAGTGGTCTTTACAAGCTTGACATTTAAGGGCCTGCGTGCTTCGGCCTGACCTACCTCCCTGACTCATTCCCATCATTCCACTACACTGAATCATGATAGGCAAATATCTGCTGTTAGTTCAAAGAATAGGCCTGAACTTCCTGGCTTTCCTTTCATTCATGTTGCTAACGTGTTACATCATGAAAACTCTATGAGCTCTGGAAACAGACAGAATTTTTGGAATCTCTGGCTTCACCGCCATGTGGTATTTGGCAAATGTTTTAATCTTTTTGACCGAATTCTTCCATCTTCATAATGGAAAAGATAATGCCAACTTCCCAAGGTTGTGAGATTTACATGAGCTAATGTATGAAAACACTAGCATAGGATCTAGCACATGGTAGGTATACAAATGTCATCTCTGAACCCCCTTCCCCATCTTTTCTCTATTCTCAACTGCAACTTACCCATCTTGACTACAGGACTTCTACTCCTTCTTTAAGACTCAGTTGAATGCCATCTTCTTTGATCCTTCTTCCAACAAACAAAAATGTTGTCTTTGATTCACTATAGTTCTCCAGACTTCCAATAGGCTGTTTATTATAGTTTGCCTTATGGTACCATTATTTTGTACTAGCCTATCCCCATCTTGTGAGTTCTTCTAGGATAGAAAGTCTTAATCTTTGTTTTATCTGAATCATAGTAAGCACTTGCTAAATGTTGGATATGTTAATAAATGAGCATTGCAAAGCAAATATTAAAATGAAGTTTCTTTAATCAGTACACCATACCCTGTACAATATCCTTCATTGTTTTTTCTTCAGCCATTTTGATTAAAAAGTAGAAAATGAATAATGAAAGTGTTTTTTGTCATCACCATTGTAACAACTTCTCACTTTTTTATATATATATATATTTAAATTAAGGAGGGACTCCTATAACTATGCCCTAGACACTGAAAGACAGAATATTTATGTTTCTACAAGGAAGAAGGAAAAGCATATTTATCCATCTTTTAGCCAAGTTTCATGTTAGTGGGCTATATTTGAGAAGGAATTTTAAAATTTGACCACATAACATTTAAATTATTAATTGCAGTTTAAAACAATATGTATGCTTAACTTTAAGAAAATCTATTAGTCTTCTCTTCTCTGAACATGTCTATGATATTTATTATGTATAGCCACTTCTGTTTTTCTATCATCTCAAATGAGAGACAGTCTTTTTACTACTCTAGAATTTCGTGTGTCTGTGTGTGTGTGTCTGTGTGTGTGTGCGCGCACGTGTGCTGCCAGAGACTGTTTAGCTCTGTCATACTTCTAAGCCTGTCACTTGAGTGGAAATTTGTCTGCAGGTGTTTTGTTTTGTGATGGTGGGTGGACTCAGAATCAATACTCCAACCAGGATTGGAAGGACCAGGTCACCTTCTGATAGAATGCAGGCAATCTAGCCTTCCAGTTGTAGTTAAAATAAAAAATAATAGCAAATTCAGAAAACAAAAGGAGGCCATCCTGAAGTGGCTAAATTCATTTATCTCTATTGTGCCATATCATGAGGCAGTAGCAGACATCTCTAAATTTTATAAAACATGTAAACAAATTATGTTTATAATACAAGTAAATCAGGAACTCAGATAAAGTACCCAAAGCCAAGGTCCCTTTCCTAGAAGTCATTTTACATTTTACATTTTAGCTGACACATGCTGAAGATAAGAGGAAATGAGAAATAGGAACTCCAGTTAAAAACTTAATCCTTGCCTGTTTCAGACTGTTTTGAAAGTAGGGATGATATTAAAATTTAGCTTTGGTTTCCCTTTTGATTTTAATACAATACATTGTCAACACTTGACCCATTTATGTATCATTTATGTTATAAATCCTCTAAATTTTTTCCTTAAAAGGTGATGTTTTCTTTTAATTCAAATCTGTTCTCTAAAAGTTTCTAACCTTGGAATATACATTAATTCCAAATAACTGACAACTTAAGAAAAATTTTCTGAAGTATAATTTCTAGTGATATTTCCAGCTTTATCAGCAAATTCTAGTTTACTAAAATTTCAAAGTACCTTGAAAAAAGGCTAATTCAACATATATTTGTCAATTGAATATATATTTAAATTAAGAATTGTCTAATAAATTAGAAATATAGAATATCACTAAGAGCAGAATCAGGTTAATGTAAACTTTAAAATTAGATTTTCAAGTTATGTTAGAAAATGTAATTTTTATCTATTTTAGGGAGTACACCTTTAGGATGTTATAAAAAACTAATAGAATATCACAAGAATGGAGACATTTCTTTTAAATATGTGAAGACCTTTAACATGGATGAATATGTAGGTAAGTTGTGTTTGAATACAGTATTTGGATATGTAACATATTTTGAATAAAATGAATACGTTTAGAGAATATTTAAGATATTTTAAATTATGTTTTGAATACAATATGAATATATTCCTAGAGTATAATGTACAGCCTTGTAATGAGGCTGGGAGTTCATATTAAAAAAATGATATTTTTGTGATGACAGCACAATACAGTAAAAGGAATATGGGACTAGAACCAGAAGACCTGCTTCATCGTGGGCTCTGCAGCTTACCAGTCTTGTAACTTTGATCTAATCTGTCCACATTTCTCTTTCTCTTTTTTTTCATTTTTCCTTAAGGCAAAGTTAAAACCAGTCTTGTGGGGAATAAATAAAGTACATATGTATAAAAGTAATTAGTAACACAAAGATTTTTCAAGTGTAAGGCTCTTTGTAGTTGTAAAGCTTTTATAATTTATTGATTGTTAACTTGCTTAACTAGAAAGATCTGTGAGGCATATAAATTGTGTTCAGATTTAAATATAATAATACATTTTTTTTTTAAAGATTTTTATTGGGTAATTGGGGGGATGGGAACAGTGCTGGGGAATTAGGGGAAGGGGAACAGACAAGTTGCTGTCGTTTTGTTCTTCAATCTAGTTGTGGAGGACGCTGCTTCACTGGCCCAAGTTGGCACCATCATTGCGCTCTTCCCTGGCGAGGCAGATCAGTCGCCGGCTTCTGGACGGCCGCTCACTGCGGCTGCTGGCCGCTCACGCTGGCTGCTGGCTACACACGGTAGCCCATGGCAACCCACTGCTACAGGGACTGCAGCCTATGCCGTCGCCAGCAACTCACGGCAGCCCAGCTCCAGGTTGAGCTGTTGTTCAGCATCTTAGCTGTAGAGGGCAGTGTCACTGGCCCTCATATGTGGGATCCGAACCGGGGCCCTCTGGCATCCCAAGCGAGTTCTTAACCATCGCGCCACTCGGCCGGCCCAATAATAATACATTTTTAATGGTAACCTAAGTGATGGCAAAAGAACTGTTGTGATTCAAAATACTTTCCAGCATATAGGAAGAATACAGGAAGAACATGGACCAACATTTCATTTATATGGTTTATTAATTTATGTTAAGCTTGACACAGAAATCAGTTCAATGATTACAATTTTATGTGTTTTAGAAGTGGAACATAGTGACTGAATGCACATGAACTAGACTTCTGTGTTTGAATTCCAGCCCCTCTGTGAGCTATGTGACTTTAGGAAAGTTACTTAATTTTTCCATGCTTCTGTTGTTCATCTATAAAATGGGAATGATAATAGTATTTTCATAGATGTTGTACAAATTAATTGAGTTAATATATACATATACAGTGGTTAAAGTAATGCCTGGCATGTAATAAGCATATATTCCACATAAAAATGCTTTTAAATTGAATATGATGTAGAAACGTTTTATATTTTAAATAGCATTTATGGCTTAATCAAAAAAGTAAATTTTAGATTTACTTCTGAAAGGTATTACTTTTTTATTTATTAACTTTAGGACTTCCCAGAAATCATCCTGAAAGTTACCATTCTTACATGTGGAATAACTTTTTTAAGCATATTGATATAGATCCTAATAATGCCCATATCCTTGATGGGAATGCTGCAGATTTACAAGCAGAATGTGATGCGTTTGAAAAGAAAATAAAAGAAGCTGGAGGAATTGATCTTTTTGTTGGAGGTAGGTAACACATTTTTGTCATTAATCATTTGTTAATATTTAGATTAGGTGCTTTGAACTAAAAAGAAAAAAATCTTATTATAATGTAAACAACACCTGTGACTGTCTGTAATACCCATTCATTCAGCTACTGATCTTTTACTTTATTTTCATCAAAAAATAATATAAGCTTGCAAGTTGGAATTGTTTAAATTATATCTTGAGAAATAGGTCCTAATCCCTGCCGAATTCTTCTAATTATCTTTTTAGAATTGACAGTTTACTATATCTTACAATTGATGGGCTTCTTTTCCTAAATGATATTCTTATCCTTGAACTATTTCTTTAAAACTCCATCCCAGCTTTTTTATCAAATTACAGGGTCAAATCTCTAACAGTTCGCATGTGGAACAGGTGGATTTTAGCATCTCTCTATGGCCACTTAAATGGCTTAATCTCACTAAGAAATCAGTTAAGAAGAATGTAAGCTTTTACTTATCAGCAGCCTTTAGTTAATAAGAATTAAGCTGTGTAATTATTTTAATAAACTCCAAAGTGATTGAATGTTGAATTGACTAAATTCCACTTGAAATCTATGTATATTTGTGTGTGTGTGTGTGTGTGTGTGTGTGTGTGTGTGTATAATTACTGAAAATAGGTGGAAGAGTTTCTTCCTTTCTAATGACAACACAGTTTTCTGTCATCAGTGTGAAGCATATGAGACAGCCAATTCATCACTATCAGAATTGTATGGTAACATCAGAATAACATCATCTAAACTGAAACCAAACTTGTTTTTTGGCAGATTCTTTAGTATTCAATTAAAACTACTAAAGCTCTAAATTAAGTTCTCTGGATACATCTTATAATTAATTTATTTGAAGTCTGCTGAAAATTACAAGAATTAGATCTTCAGTAGAGCTGTGTGAAGTTAATTTATGGTTGAGGTGGCCAAGTATGCTTGAGGTGGATGGTTGCCCTTGGGGAAAATTGGATTTTATAATTAGACATAAATTTGCATCCTGTTTTGGCCACTTACTATCTGTTTGACCTTGGAAAGTTTATTGAGGTTCAGTATAATTAAGTCATTTGTAAAACAGAATTATGTTAACTATTCCAAAATGTGTGAGAATTAGCTGTATTAAAACATGTATAAAATGCCTTACACAATAGTTGGTATGTAGTTGGTACTCTATGAAGTGTTACTTCAGTCTTCTCTTTGAACTATAGATGCTGAAATAATTGTTCCTTCATTCATTGAATGTCCTGCTTTTTTACAGAATTACCTCTAAGGGTATCCAGCAAGATTGGAATTTTCTCTTAAGGAAATTTTTATCTCTGCCTAGCAGAACCAGCATCAGTTAGTTTCTTGTGTAGATGGATGGTTTTTCTCTGAGCAAGAATCCAAGTTAGACTATTTTGCTTTTCAAAATAGAAAGTTATTTACATTTTAAATAAAATTTGCTGATATTGCCTGAATATTCTTGGAAAACTCCACTTTTGTCCATTCTGAGATAATTTCCACTTGCACCTGCCAGTATCAAGGCTAAGGCAATAAATATTTCAGAACGTTTAAGTATTGCTCTACCCATGCATTCTTTAGATTTTCTAAATTCTATATAATAATCAAGTAGAATTACTATAATATGACATTCCCAAATTGTTAATCATAGTGAATATCAAGAAATATTTTCACTCATTTGCTGTTATACTAGAAGACATGTGGTTATTAGAGATTCATTATTAAAAATGGCTGCATGAAAAATGTCTTTTTTACTTTTTCATTTGAGGACTTTTTTTGCTATTAATTTATTGAGTTTACAGAAGGATCAATGTGAAAATTCCCTTGGAGACTCAATACCAGGTAATAGAATTTACTGGGGGAAAAAAAACCTGATAAGAATTCTTTAACTCGTTTGTTCTTTTGCCTGCTTTCCAGAAGGTATATATAGCTTAACATAATATTTAAGGCTGCATTTCCCTCAAAGCTTTCTAGAACTTACTTCTTACCCCATAGCTTTAAGTCACTTCTCATTTCTTTTTAGCTAAAGTTTTTGTGCATTTCCTCACTATAAGCCACCTTACTTATCCCTTTGAAACAGATGGAGCATAAATTATAATTATTTATCACTTACTAATAAAAAGAACTGTACTCTGTTTATTTAACCAATTTTTGTCTTAAGCTTCCTGTAGTACTAGTCCTCTCCTCCGAAAAATAAAAAAATTAAGAGGATTTCCTTGTCTCTTCCATTAACATAGTCACTGAAGTCATGTGATGATCCAGGGTCTGACATTTTTATAGGTAACATCCAAAGGACATAATTACTCTGCATATAGGGACTGAAGGGTTATCATTTGGCATTTTCTGTGAACTTTTTCCTGTTTGGGATATCCTATTATTGGATGTGTATTCATGAAAGAATCTCATTTGATTCTTTGCCTGCCTTTGTCGATTTCAGTTTGTTATCATTGGATTTTCAAGATGAGGCTTGGTATCTGGGTCTTACCACTTACCCTTCTTTTGTTCCAGGGTTTTGGTAAATAAAAACACTAAGAACTGAGCCAAATTGGATCAAAATATCAGCTTTATTAAAGGTAAAGTTGTATTAGAGATTGCAGATTGGGCTTGAGGCCAAAATGGGGTTTCCTTACTCCTCCCCTCTGAATTGGAAATGGTTGGATAAGAAAAGTTTAAGAATATTAATCCACCATTGCTCGCTCGTAGGGACTGGGGCAGGAGTTCCCTTCCCTCAGTAGAAAAGAGAAAAGAGGAAATATACTCTCAAAAGTTCTCATTCTTCTCTGAGGAAAAAAGTGTTGAGAAAAAGTGTAAGCTATATCACGCAATCCCTGATCTACTGCAGCAATAAAGTACGCAAACATGGAATTTATACATAGACTCTAAAGGCAATATTAACTTTAAATGATCTTAATTTGTTTTTAAAAAGAAAAAAGACAATGGGGAAAACTTTAACCCTCTTCTTTGGTTATGTGATTAGATGCTTTGGTTTACAAGTAACAATTATCTAATGGGATCAAAAGTGAATTAATTGGAATGATTCTGGGGTAACTCACAGAATACGTAGAAGAGTTGAAAAAACCAAGTCTTTGGAAAAACAAGAACTGGGGAGCCTCAGATCTCTGAAGCAGGAACTCAGTGACCCTTTCCTACAGTGCTGTCATCAAATGCCTCAGCTCTACACGCCTTTTATCTTTCTGTCTCCCTGGTCAAGTTTCAAATTTCAGGATTTCCAGAGAGAAATTCTAGCTGTTTCAGCTTGGGACAAGTACTTACCCCTAGATCACAATCATCCTGCCTAAGCGAGGGAGCAGGATATTAGGATTGTTCTGGCCCCTGGTGTGAGGGGAGCAGAGCAGCATAGAAGCAGCAGGGAGAAACTATGAACGTATCAAAGACTAGCAACCATCCATTCGTTTATTCAGCCATCATTTAGTGAGGGCCTCCTATGTGTCCTGTGTTGTTCTAAATGGTGAGGATTCAGTGATGAAGAAGAGAAAGTCCTCACTCTTAGGAAGTTTACATTCTATCCCACAGAACTGTAGGAACACAGGAAAGACATATAATTCAGACTCTGAGGTTTTACAGATATTTCATAAAAGTGCTGATATCTTAGTTTCAACTTAAAGACTAAGAATTAGCCATGGTTTTTAGATTTCATAATTATTGTTAAGGAAGTTTTATAAAGCTTTGTAAAACATTCTGAACATTTTAGAAATTCAATTTTATATCAGGAAGCTCAGATTTTGAAAGTTACTCTGGGCGGTAAAGGCCTGCATCGACCCTTCCCCCTCATGAACCATTGCTGATCATTCCAGTTTTGCCCTACACTTTTCGATGACCCACGTCACCGGGGAGACCATTAGTGTTGATCCTGAAGGACTTCCTAATTTTTCCAGAACTTTTACTTTCCTGATTCCATCTTCCCTCTTTATACATACATAGAAACATATAAATATAAATATTTGGGCAGACGTATTCTTAAGAGGGGAAGCAACAGTTTTACAAATCTAAAGAGAAATGCCTTCTATAATTCAAATCTTACATTTATAAGCAGATACAAACTTAATCGTAGAAACAACCCAGACGTGTTAATGACATGTAGATCTGGCTTTATGTCCATACATTAAACATTCCTAGATTGTTGTGCTTTGGTAATTGTATATCTGCTTCCTAAGGTTTTCATTTTTTTTCCTGCAAAACGAGGTTACTCTTTGTCATACTTTACCTTGTTGATGGAGTCTGGGAAAATTTTGTTAGAATTGTATGTTAAGAGTCAGTAAAATACACATATCTATAATTAAAGTAAATATACAGATTATAAATGTATTAGATATTTTGACTTAGAGAACTTGTGAGTTTATTTGTTGATTAAGGTTGCCAGAAATCTGACTAGCTAGTAGGGTACATACGAGGTCTGACTATTAAGTTCGCAAACTTGTTGCAATGATGTTGCTAACCTTTTTTGATATCAGAGGGATTATTCATTATGAATTTGTACCAATTGGACAAACAGTTAACCAAGTTTACTATTTGCAAGTTCTGAAAAGACTATGTGAAAAACTTAAACGACCTGAACTTTTTGCCAACAATTCATAGCTCTTGCATCATGACAATTCACCAGCTCAGAGGGCAGTGTCTATGAGGGAGTTTTTAGCCAGTAAACAACTGTGTTGGAACACCCTCCCTACTCACCTGATCTGGCCCCCAATGACTTCTTTCTTTACCTGAAGATAAAGGAAATATGGAAAGGGAGACATTTTGATGACATTCAGGACATCAAGGGTACTATGACAGCTCTGATGGCCATTCTAGAAAAAGAGTTCCAAATTTGCTTTGAAGGGTGGACTAGGCGCTGTTGTCGGTGCATAGCTTCCCAAGGGGAGTACTTTGAAGGTAACCATAGTGATATTCAAAAATGAAGTATGTAGCACTTTTTCTACGATGAGTTCGCGAACTTAATTGTCCTACCTTGTATATATGAAACTTGATTTATTTATGCCATAGAATCATTCTTGATTTTATAAAAAGATTTATCTCCAATTTCATTCAAATAAGGATTTTTATCTAAATTTTGAAGGGAGTTCTAGAATATTAGAGCTGACAGTAGATCTCCTTAAAACAGTGTTTTCAAATTGTGGTTGTCACTATTAAGCCATGAAATCAATATAGTCAGTCACATCTATGTCCCCTTTGTATGTTTTGTTAATGAAATAGAATGTAATCCTAAGTGCTTGTATGACTCCTAGTAAAGGTAAGTTTCAGGAAATTCTTGTTTTAATTATATGAGTGTATGGGTGTGTATATGTACTAGATTGCAATGTGAAGTGTATTTCTTACAAGAGGTTACAGCAAAACAAGTTTGAAGAAAACAACTGCCCTAGATAATATCTTGTCCAGTCTAGACATTTTTATTAGTGAGGAAACCATACTACAGCAAGGTGCAGTAGTCAATTGCCCCATCTAGACTAGAACCAAGCAAGTTAAATGGTGAGAATAGAGACCACTGGGTAGGAATCAGAAAATTTAAGTTTGAGTTACCTCAGTACTTACTAAATTGTTAACTTGAACAAGTCATATTGGGTTGTCGGAAAAGTCGACGTATTTTTTTCTATGTTTTTTGTTGCAAAAATGCATCATGACTTTTCTGACAACCCAGAATATTATCCTTGAGCATCAGTTTCCTTTTGTGCTTAGGAAAAGGTGAGCTTAGGGAGAGGTGAGGGAAATACAGATGCCTAATCTATCTCACTAGATTGTTAAATATATCTGTTGTTGAGATGATGCATGTGAAAATGCTTCATAAGCCATCAAGTTTTATTCTAATATAAGGAGATACTTAACATTATGGCTATTAGAATTATGCTAGCTCATTGCCAAGCATATGAAAAACATTGAAATATATGTTGAATCAAGTACAGGAACAAATATTTTAATGCAGCATTAGAAATTCAGCTATCAAAACAAGATAAGTGTGATTATAATGATTTCTTTGCTCTAAAAAACATGTTGATCTTTGAGAAACTGTATTGACTTGATGTATATTTGTGTGTGTGTGTGTGTTTCTTTTGAAAGGAATTGGTCCGGATGGTCATATCGCTTTCAATGAGCCAGGATCCAGTTTAGTATCAAGGACAAGATTAAAGACTCTAGCAATGGACACCATTTTGGCAAATGCTAAATATTTTGATGGAGATTTATCGAAGGTGCCGACTATGGCTCTAACAGTTGGTGTGGGGACAGTGATGGATGCTAGAGAAGTAAGAATAAATGTTCTTTGATGTTTTTCCTTTGCTATCTATAGATTTTGGAGGAATTACGGTGCCAAATAAGTAATATTTTGTTGCATCCTGATCACATTTTAAATTGTCTAGCTTTCAATAACTTCTGTGAGTCTCATTGCCATGTTTAAAGTTTAACTAAATTAAGTCTTTCGATGCTGTAAACTAAGAATAGGCACCACCTCTTTCAGGACACTGCTTCACTCGCCTATTCCTGCTTTACAGTTTGGGGTCCTCAAATCACCCTGATCATATATGGTCTGTTTTTAAGTGAAAGTCTTATGAAAAGCTGTTGGACGAAGATGCAATACTATTTTGGAGGCTCAGGATAATTGAATGTAATGTGCTTCTTGACTGTAGGAGGATAGCCCAGTTGGTTTCCAGCAGAAAAAGAACTCATCTGGGACTCAAGTTGGTATATTTTAAAAGGTTCTAAGTTTGGTGTATTTAAAAAGGCAAGAGCTCTGAACAGTAGACCCTGCCTAATTTTTAAATTTTTAATTGGGCTGTCATTTCCTTCCCTGAAAATGACAAAACTACACTTAGCTCATGATTCTCAGTGGTTAAATTATATGGAAATCCTGAACTCCGTTCCTTTCTGGCAGCTGGATGGGACAGTTGCAGAGGAAAGAGTGCAGGCAAGGGAATGATGAATAAGTAACTAATCTTGATGCAAATATATCTTGACTTGAACTTACAAATAGAACTGTCATTCAAAATGTAGGAATATTTCATCTAAAGTCATCAGTATATGAAAAACCTTTCAAGGACTGAAATTTTTTAGTAAATAAGTTGAAAACAAGACTTTAGAGTGATCTTATTTCTAAAATATGGTACTGAAAGTTATGCACAAAGATTTCTTATATTTAACTAAGTTATAATGCAACTACTATGCTAATTCTTAGAATGAACAGAAAATTATTCAAATACTGATTATTTTTTTCTTTTGGTCAATTTTTTCTTTTGGTCAATTTCCAAAATTATATGAAGCTATTCACCTCACAGTATTCATTCCCAGCATGATTATAAAGGAAATCATTATGGCAGAAGTATTCTAGGGTTTCATCGTTTTCCCAAGGGCCTAGTGCTTTGATTTTTCATAGCATTCTTTGAAACACATATCATGTCATCATACTTAATGATTTTCTTACCTTCAATTATAAGGCTTAATGTGTACAGATTTTCATTTGCCAGTGGTTTTAACTGTGATGTGAGTTGTTCTTCAATGTCATTTTCATTAACGGCAAATATACTTACTTAAATTTTGAATCCATGCATGAAACAGATGCTACTGTGAAATAGAAAGTAGGTTTGAATGGGAAACTAGATTTTTAAGTGATCAGTACATCAATGACTATCATCACATTTTGGCAACTCAGATAAAGAGAACCTTCTGCAGACATCCTGGAAGTGACACCCTGGCAGTTTTTACAGATTTCCTTAAGACTTGGGAATTGTCAGCTAGAGAAGGAACCCCACAGGACACTACCCTCAGGTGTCACTCTTACCTTGCCCTGAGGCCTCTGCACTGATGGTCTATGTGAAACGCCCTACTTTTCCGGTTCTTAGCTACAGTGGCACCAGCTTTCAGCTTTCAGAGCTCCCTTTCATGACCATAATCCTTACAATCAAAATTATTTTCTTTTATTCTCTCATACTACTCTGTTCTTTTTCTGTAGCACTTTTGCAATTTTTAATTGTTTTCTTACGTTTATTGGTTTAATATCTTTTTCCTCACTAATTTATAATCTTCATGAGTTTATGGGTCATGTATATTTAGCACCTCACACTGTCACATGATAGATACTCAGTAACTGTTGGGAATCATTTGAATGAGTTTTTACATTCATAATTCATTTTGGACAAAAGTTGGTTCTATCCATAACATGGCCATCTACCTGAACCACCAGATCTGATTTTTATTGACTTGGCAGTTTGCCAAAAGCCAAATTTACCCTCAAAGGATTAAAATTTGTTTTTACTGAGCTATATTTAAAGATAGTGCTATGTATTTTAAAGGTAATTTCAAAAGAAAAGACATGTTTTTAACCATTGCCAGCTGAGATTTAGATGTTAAAGACTCCTTATACCTACACTATCCA